CGCATCCCACGCCCAGTGGGGGTGCATCCCACGGCCGACGCGGCTGCGTGCATTCTTTGCTCTCGGGGGTGGCTCACCGTCCCTGGGCGGACAGGGCGCTAAGAGCCCACGGCCCCGACCAGGGCACGTGGCGTGACTCCAACAAGTCGTGCAAACTAGCATTGCTGAAGACGCGCCCCGGGGTCCCCCCTCTGGGCATCGCCACTCGCGAATCTGGGCAGCAAGGAAGCTGTGCCCACGCACGCGCGAGGGACTAACCTGAGGCGGAGCGTCAGCGTGCGCCTCGGGATCCGAGCCCAGACGAGCGGCCGCGCCTGCGTTCGCCGCCGGGGCCGAGCCAGCGCCTGCAGCATCAGCGCGCGATTCTCGCGTTCCCCCAATCTCGCACTCAGACCCCGACCACCCCTCCACCTCGAGCTCAACAGTGCGGAGGGCCTCGAGGCCTTGATGGTCGCGAGTGCCGGCTTCAGTCAGCACGGCCTCCATGCGCCCCGTGTATCGGGTGAGGAGCCGCGCAAGATGGAGGCAACCAAAAAGGAAAGCGCGCTCATCTTCGGCCAGCCGGCCTTCGGCCGCCCCAGCCTTTGCTAGGGGCTAGGGCGTCGGCCGCGTGATTCCCGTCGCGCTGCCAAGCCGCGATTCGCCCCTCCACGACGTCATTCCTCGTCGCGTGCGCGAGGACCTTAGAAAAGGTCACGTCCTCGAGTGCATCGCCGGCAGCCGCCTGGCGCCACAGGTGGGCGCGTGGCTGGCCTGGCCCGTTGGCGCTCGCCAGGTTTTGCCCGCAGGCGACAGTGGCACTACCGTCCGAATGCAGCGTGTAGCGGCCGGCGGCGTGCCTTGACGCCATCAGGACAGCATAGTCCTCCCTGTCCCTGGCGGACTGGGACGGGCAAAGATTTCGGGGCACCACCCCGCGCAGAGAGCCCAAGCAACAAAAATCGGCGTCGTAGGCAACCACGGCCCAACCAGCCACCCTCAAGGTGGGGAATTCAGCGTCGAAGCAAGCAAGCTCCATCGGTGAAAATGTGCCCGCCGTCGAGCATGAGTCCGGTCAGCGGCCAGCGGTCCGCCTGGAGCTCGGCGCCAGGCGGCAGCGGCGGCCGCCGAAAACAATGGGCAGGATCAGGCAGGAGCACTCGTGCAAAACGTTTCCCGGCCTCCTCCCCGCCCTCCAGCACTCGAGCGGTGGCATCGCGCACCGCTGGGTCAAGATTGTCCGCCCTCCAGGCGTGGTGCGCTGGGCACTGGAAACATCGATGATGCAAGGTGCTGGGAGAGCCGCGGCAGCACTGGCAAACGTCGGAAAGCCCCAGCCCCTCCCCCTCCCGGCAGAGGCGGGCCTGGCACTAATGCGCGCCGCAAAGCAAGCCTCGTTGAGCCCGCTTGTGGTGAAGGCTCCAGCCTCGCTCAGCGGGGGCGTGCAGCAGCTCGTTGAGGGGGCGCCAGAAGACGGGCGCAACCCAGCTGCGGCGGCCAGGCCTGACCAAGTGGCCCATGGCGTGAATGTCGGAGGCGTGCCGGGCCGCTTCCTGCGCCTTGAGACGGAAGAAGGTCGGCGAAAACTCCTGGAGGTCCCAGCGGTCGCCCTTCTCGTCCCTCAGCGTGAAAGGGTCGTCCAAGCTCCAGCCGACGCGCTGCAGGGTGAGCACCAGCGCCGTGATCGGGTTGCTGCAGCGCGCCCAAGGGAAACGCTGCGCGGCCAGGTGCCGAGCGCCATCCAATAGCGCCTGAAGCAGGGACCGCTGGAAGACGCCGTTCCAAACCATGTCGGCGTACGTCTGGATGACCAGCGCCGTGACTAACACGAACGGGTCGCGCCTCCAGCCGGCGCGCCAGCTAGCCATGGCTAGCACAAGGGAGGCCCCTCGAGGGAGGCGCCCCTCGGCACGGAGCGCGGCAGCCCGTAGCCCTTTGAGCTTGCCATTCGGCACGCCCTGGATCGCAGTGCCCCACAGCGCCATAGCGCTTGGACTAGCGCGGTGGACAGACGCGATCGGCGCACCTGCCCGGCGAAGCTGCTCGAGGCGTGCGCCGCGAGCCTGAGCTTCTGCAAACCGCTGGCTCTGCGTGCCCACGCGCCGCAGGCGCCCGGCCGTCGCATCGCCCCCCAGGTCGAGATGGGAATCCGATCTCTGTTCCATGCTGATGTCCCAGCGCTCGCAGAGCGCCTCCGCGAGAGCCGTGGAGTTGGCGAGGAAACCCGTCTTGCGGTCTGCGATCGGCAGTCCCAGGGCCGCCATGTCCTGCTTGACCGAATCGTAGCCCCTCACCAGCTGCTGCGTGACCGTACTCTCTCCCCGTCGATCACGTTCTTGATGGAGATGATGGGGGCGCAGGCCGCCGCGCGCTTCACCACCGCCAGGAACATGAGGCGGGCAAGCGACGTGGCGCATGAGCAACCAGCTATGACCCCGCCGTTCACGACCAACTCGCGGCTGACAGCTCCCTGGAGCACCACGCGCCTGCGCGCGCGGTAGCAGCAGCACAGGCATCGCAAGAGCCCGACGTCGAACTCGGCGTGCCGGGCGGCATGCAACAGGGAGGAGAGGGAGGAGGAGGGAGGAGGAGGGACGCAGAGGCGGAGGAGGAGGAGGAGGCGGAGGAGGAGGTGGAGGAGGAGGAGGGGAGGAGGACTAGGAGCTCCTCCTCGTCCTTCCTTTTTTCCCAGGAAGGGCGCGGACCCAGGGTTCTCTTTTGGTAGGTAGGCTTGCTCCCTGGTGCCATATCGGGAGCCGGCTGGCGGAATTACGTTGCGAGCCGGAACACCCCATTCTGGAGCCTGGTGCGAGGATGCCTCGAGCGGGAGCCTCGTTCTCGTTTGTGCAGGGCGTCTCGAACGAAAGGCTTGTTCTGCAGAGTGTGTCGAGGACGCTTTGGGCGAAACGCCCGTTTTCACGTGTCCAGGCCTTTGTGGGTAAGAAGCGGCGTCGGAATTGGCTAAAAAAGCGGCAAAACAGAACCGGTGAGAAAACGGCCCTGTCGTTTCCAGGGCCCACGAAGGTCCAGGCCACCCCGTGGTGGAGGGAGGGCGGACCCCCGGCACAAGTTGCGAAGGGTTGTGGCCCAGGGAGCGCCAGGCCGATCGCGGAGGGGGGGGGAGGTCAGGAGGAGGACGCCCGGTGGATTTCCAGGTGGAGGAGGAGGAGGACCAGGATTAAGTCGGGGGTGTCCCTCTACAGGGGGGATGTTCAAAAGTAGGGGAAACAAATAATCAGAGGACGACGTTCCGAGCATATTTGATTTTTTTTTTAAATATATATATATATATATATATATATATATATACACATATTCCTCTTCTTATATTTTTACAAGCCCGGGGGGGGGGGGAAACCCATCACCCCCCCCTTCCCCAAAACTGGACCCCCGGGATCTGGGGTTCTCGGGCTCCCTTGGACGTCCTTGGAAAAGGTCAACCAGCTTTCCGGGTCTCCACAAACGCCTTGCCAGCAGACCCAGAGCGATCCGAGGGGTCATCAGAAAGGCTCAAGGGAGGCCCCAGACAGCACAAGAGCGCTCCAAGAGGGACTCCAATTGCGTCAGGACGGCCCACAAGACCCCCAGGGCACCCCAAACACCTTTCCAAGGGGCCTTCAAAGCACCAACATCGTCCCATTCCCTTCGTAAAACTTACAATTTTAGCATATTCGCCTTTCGGATTTCATCAGCTTTCAAGATGGTTTCAAAGCTCCCGAGATCGCCTCCAGACGCCCGAAAAGGCCCCCAAGAAAGCTTCAAGACGGCCGAGCCGGGCCCCACGATCGCCCACGAGAGCCCCAAGACAGCCCATAATGGAACCAAGAGGCCCCCCAAGGGCTCCCAGCACAGACCCAAAAGGGCCATGGGAGGTCCCCGGAAATGCCCAAGATGGGTCCAAAGGGGGCTCCAGCGGGCCCACGCTCCCCAAGACGGCCCAAGACGGCCCCAGGACGGCCCATGAAGGCGCCAAAACGGCCCACGAGGGCCCCGAAAACACCCCCACGATGTTTCCGAATGCCAACATAAAACCCCAAAGGCACACCAAAAAGCTTTCCAAGGGGCCTTCAAACCACAAAAATCGTCCCATTCCCTCCGTAAAACTTACAATTTTAGCATTTTCGCCTGTCGGATGTCATCAGCTTTCAACACGGTTTCAAAGCCCCCGAGATCGCCTCCAGACGCCCGAAAAGGCCCCCAAGAAAGCTTCAAGACGGCCGAGCCGGGCCCCACGATCGCCCACGAGAGCCCCAAGACAGCCCATAATGGAACCAAGAGGCCCCCCGAGGGCTCCCAGCACAGACCCAAAAGGGCCAT